GAAAAATGAGCAAAGGAAGGAATAATATAAATAGCTAAAAACCCATGAGGAAGTGTAGCTCATCACTAATAATCAAAGAAATGTAAATTAAAACAAGGAGATAAACATACTGTTTTAAAAATAAAGCTTTAAAAAATAATACATGTGCCCATGTTGCTACATTTTGGCCTTAAAATTTGTTTAACCTTTGATCCAGTAATTCTATTCCGGTGAATTTCTAAAGAAATAAAACATGGAAAAGTAGGTATATATAGATGTTTGTAGAACCATTATTTATAATGGGCACAGTATTGGAAGAATGGGCACAGTTTTATACATCTGTTAAAATGATCACTGATTCACATAGTCATATTCCATTTTTCACAAACAGGTTTTAAATGTTTTAATACTGTCTTGTAATTTCCAAATGTATATCATGATTGTATATTTTTTTTAATTAGAAAAAAAACATTAATACCTAATACTTAAGAAGTATTTATTGTGTGTCAGGCCCTGTGCAATCATTGAATTTTCATAAACACCTCCTGTGGTGGTAGTTTCATTTTACATATGAGGAAACTTGGATGCTAGTAGGCTAATTAGTAGCTTTCCCAAGTCATGCAGCTAATAGTGTAGCTGAGATGTGAATCCAGGTAGTTTGGCTGTGTGCTTCTGCCTCAAATTGTGCATCATCACCTCTGCAGCAGTGTGGCCTGTCCTAGTTCTAATTTCCTCCAGATAAAAAGTTTCCTAATACTGGGTTGAGTCTAGTGGAGACTGTGGGTTTCTCAAAGTACAGATTACCCGCTGTCCAACTCCGATCCAGTGACTTAGCAGCCTCCAGCATTACAGGTTAGGCAGGGACTTGGATTTCATTGTCTGTTCTCCTCACACTGACAGATGGTGTAGATGCCACCAGACTGCAAGAACACAACTAGCACTTCTCCTTTCTGCTGCTTTTTCCCTTGGCTTTCCCTCTCCTGACATTTTATTTTTTAATTAACTTTATTTTTATATAATTGATGTATAATAAGCTGTACTCATTTAAAGTGTACAGTTGAATGAGTTTGACAGATGTTTCCATCTCTGAAACTATTAATACCACAATCAAGATATAGAACATTTCCATTAACTATCAAACTCTAGCCTAACAGTCACTGATCTGCCCTGTCACTGTACATTTGCTGTCATTTTCTGGAATGTCGTGAATGAAATCATGCAGTATATACCCTTTACTAATTGGCTTCTTCTATTTAGATAATGAGATGCATTCATGTTATTGAATATATCAATAGTTTTGTGGGTTTTTTTTTTTTTTAACTGATGACTTGTATTGCATTCTAAGAGTAGTGTTCCACTGATACAAAAATATAACATGTTCTTTCACCTGTGTTATTTCTAGTTTTGAGTTTTGTGAGTAAAGCTGTTATAAATATGCTTTTCCTTTTCTTAAATAAGAGTGGAGTGTCTAACTTTATAAAGAACGTGTTTAACTTTATAAAAAACTGCCAAGCTGTTTTCAAAATTTTTCATTTTGCGTTCCCAGCAACAGAGTATGAGAGTTTTGCTTTCTCTCCATCCTTACCAACACTGGGTATTATCAGTCTTATTCATGTTGGCCCCTCTGATGGGTGTATTTGTGTCTTGTGGTTTTAATTTGCACTTTGTGACCATTAATGTTGAGCATCTTTGCATATGCCTCTTGGCTATTCTTATGTATTCTGTGGTGAAATGCTTATCCAAATCTTTAGCCCACTGGTCTGCTTATTATTAAATTGTATGGATTCCTTATATATTTTGGATACAAGTCTTTTGTCAGATATACATAATATATTATGTGAATATTTTATCCCAGTATACAGCTTGCCTTTTTGTTTTCGCAACAGTTTTTTTTCTTGTAGTAAAGGGCGGTTTTTTGTGTGTTTTTGTTTTTTTTTTAATTAGGAGTGTGGGTATCCTATCTAAGAAATCCTATCTAAGAAAATATCCTATCTAAGAAATCCTGTCTACTTAAATTTTCTTTAGGTCTATGATGTGCTCAGTTGCTCAGTGTCCAACTCTCTGCAACCCCATGGACTGTAGCCCACCAGGCTCCTCTGTCCGTGGGATTTTTTAGGCAAGAATGTTGGAGTGGGTTGCCATTTACTCCTCCAGGGGATCTTCTGAATCCAGGAATCAGACCCTTGTCTCCTACATTGGCAGGCAGATTGTTTACCACTTGTGCCACCTGGGAAGCCCAAGCCTATGATACATGAAACTAATTTTTGCATATTGCATTAGATGAGGTCTAATGTTCTTTTGCAGGAGGAGAAGGGGGCGACAGAGGATGAGATGGCTGGATGGCATCACTGACTCGATGGGCATGAGTTTGAGTAAACTCCGGGAGTTGGTGATAGACAGGGAGGCCTGGCGTGCTGCAATTCATGGGGTCACAAAGAGTCGGACACGACTGAGTGACTGAACTGAACTGAATGTTCTTTTTGAAAAATACATGAATCTCTCATTTAGCACTGTTTATTGAAGAGATTAAAAAAAAGCAAGAGAGTTCCAGAAAAACATCTACTTATGATTTATTGACTACACCAAAGCCTTTGACTGTGGATCACAACTGTGGAAAATTCTTAAATCGATGGGATTGCCAGACCACCTTATCTGCCTTCTGAGAAATCTTTATACAGGTCAAGAAGCAGCAGTTAGAACTGGACATGGAACAACAGACTGGTTACAATAGGGAAAGGAGTATGTCAAGGCTTTGTACTGTCACCCTGCTTATTTAACTTCTGTGCAGAGTATATCATGAGAAATGCCAGGCTGGATGAAGCACAAGCTGGAATCAAGATTGCCAGGAGAAATATCAATAGCCTCAGATACGCAGGTGACACCACCCTTATGGCAGAAAGCGAAGAACTGAAGAAACTGATGAAAATGAAAGAGAAGAGTGAAAAAGTTGGCTTAAAACCCAACATTCAGAAAACTAGGATCGTGGCATCTGGTCCCATCACTTCATGGCAGATAGATGGGGAAACAGTGACAGACTTTATTTTGGGGGGCTCCAAAATCACTGCAGATGGTGACTGCAGCCATGAAATTAAAAGATGCTTGCACCTTGGAAGAAAAGCCATGGCCAACCTAGACAGCATATTAAAAAGCAGAGAGGTTACTTTGCCAACAGAAGTCCATCTAGTCAAAGCTATGGTCTTTCCAGTAGTAATGTATGGATGTGAGTTGGACTATAAAAAAAAGCTGAGCACCGAAGAATTGATGTTTTTGAACTGTGGTGTTGGAGAAGAGTCTTTTTGAGAGTCCCTTGGACTGCAAGGAGATCAAACCAGTCCATCCTAAAGGAAATCAGTGCTGAATAATCATTGGAAGGACTGATGCAGAAGACACTTAAGTCATGTCCAACTCTTCTGCAACCCCATGGACAGTAGTCTGCAAGGCTCTACAGTGGCCACCTGATGCAAAGAACGGACTCATTGGAAAAGATCCTGACGTTGGGAAAGATTGAAGGCAGGAGGATAACGGGGATGACAGAGGATAAGATGGTTGGATGGCATCACCAACTCCGTGGACATGAGTTTGAGCAAGCTCTGGGAGTTGGTGATGGACAGAGAAGCCTGGCATGCTGCAGTCCATGGGTCGCAAAGAGTTGGACATGATTGAGCAACTGAACGGAAGTAAATTAAGAAATTTCCCTTTTCCTTTGAATTGCCATAGCACCTTTGTCCAAAATAATTGGCTGTGTCTGGATTTGTTTCTGGGTCCTCTCTTCTAATCCATTCGTTTATATGTCTTATCCAGTAATTGCATAGTTTTAATTGCTGTGGATTTATGATGTCTTAAAATCAGGTAGTTTAAGTCTTCCAACTTTATTCTTTTTCAAAATTGCTTTCACTATTATAAAATTTAAAAGGAAATGAGAACAATTCTACAATCAAATTGTTCAGAAGAGTAAGTTGGAATTTGGATTAGAATTTCATCGAATCTTTAGCTCAATATGGGAGGAACTGACTTCTTAACTTGGACTTCCCGGTGGCTCAGTGGTAAAGAATCTGCCTGCCAATGCAGGAGAGGCAGGTTTGATCCCTGGGTCTGGAAGATCCTTTGGGGAAGAAAATGGCAACCTTCCAGTATTCTTGCCTGGGAAATCTGATGGTCAGAGGAGCCTCGCAGACTACAGTCCATGGGGTCGCAGAAGAGTTGGACATGACTTAGTGTCTAAATAACATCACCAACTTCTTAGTCATTCCTGCTGTTTATGGATATGGTATATAATATGTAATGTAATATATAAACTTATTTGGGTCATTTTTAATTCTTTTTGTGTAGCCATATTGCTTCTTATATATTTTTTGGTTTTTTTAAAACCCACTTGGTGATTTTCTTTTTTTTTTTGATGGGCGACAACTTTATACTCCTAGCTATCATTAACTGTACAATTAGAGACATGGAATTGTAGAACAGCAGACATAAGAAAATGCTCATTATTTTGCCCATTTTTCATTATGTATACACATCAGGTTCTTTGCATGAAAATGAATAGAATAAACTCAGAAATCTGTAGACATTTGGTATCAAGGTAGAAAAGTTTGAGTTGATTAAAATTTTGAGATTTGGTAATGGTGTGAAAATATTTTCTTTACATTTACTTTATATATCTAGTATAACTTATACAGAATGAAGCGACCATATAATATAAACCTTAATTCCATAGAGTTTTGGTTTAAAATACATATAAATAAGAGCTCTTATTATTTCCTTTCTGTACCATAGTATTATCTTTCTACTTTTAAGTAACTACATTTATTGGATAGTTATGAATTAAGTGTGCTTTGGTATATTGTTTTTAAAAGTGTCATATTCTAGTGTTTTGCATGGCATTAGTATCTGGCAAAATACAAACATGCACAGAAGGAAATTCAACTTCTTTTTTTGAAATGGATTTATAGATTTACCAAGTGTAACGTATTTAAACTTTCCATTATCCCAGTAAAATAATGTTTTTTTCTTAATTGTAACAGACATCAGACACCCTGAAGAGCTTTCTCTATTGAAAAAACCCAGAGATCCAACAAAGAAAAAAAAGAAAAAGCTAGATGACCAATCTGAAGATGAGGCACTTGAACTAGAGGGGCCTCTTATCACTCCTGGATCAGGTGAGTCTTTGACTAAGCATGGGTTCAGTGTGAGAACCATGAGAACTGTATGCCTCTGTGTGTGTGTGTAATTGAAATATAGTTGATTTACAATATTGTGTTAGTTTCAGGTATTGCAGCACAATGATTCATTTATACACACATGTGTAGAAAAAAAATATATATATATATATTCTTTTTCAGGTTCTTTTCCCCTATAGGTTATTATAAAAATATTGAGTACAATTCCCTGTGCTGTACAGTAGGTCTTCCTGTCTGTTTTTTATATCAATATAAATGGACTAAATAGTCTGGAGAGTGGTCAGGTTAAAGAACACTGTCCTTCTGCATGTTTTCCCTCAGTCATCACCAGAGTCTGTCACGTGCGATCATTGTGTCAGGTGTTAGTAGTTGAATCAATAATAAGAAAAGCTGGTTCTGTGCTCAGGAAAAGTCAAAAGGAGACAGTACCTTAACTTGTCTCAGTTCTTGGCATTGCAGAAACTGGAGGGTTTTTTTTAGCATTTAGTTCCATTTTGGGACTATTTTGTGGAAACCACCACTATTTAGTTAAGACGTTATTACTTTTATCAGGTTACTTAAAACTTCTATGCTTTGCATACGCTAGTCTCTTAGTGCCTCTCTTTTCTCTTGAAGAAGCTTTCTCATATTTCCTTCCATTATTTCCCCAACCTGAACCTTACTGAACCCCTACTTCCCCAACCTTATGACTTCCCCTGCTGTCATAAGTCACCAGACTTACTGTGTTTGGTATTATATTATGTGTTCTCTCCTAATAACTGTAAGGTCCTGCATGAAGAGACTGTTTCTTACCTTTCTGTTACTAAGACCTAACTCAGCATATAGCATACAGTAGGAACATGGGCAGTGTCTGTTGAGAAGTTAGATGACTAATCAATTAGATTACATGGTTCTTTGGTTTCTGAAAATTAGTTTTCCATGTTTCCATTGGCTGCACATTTATAAATCCATTTCTTAGGATAGCTCTCAGAAGCAAATAAATAAACTAATTTTACTAATTCAGTTCATTCCTGTTTTTTAAAATTCTGGGGTGATAATGATGGTAATGAAAGTAAACAGGGAATACAGACTTATGTATGCCCAGAACTGTTTCACACACTTTACCCATGGAAACTCATTTAATTCTCACTACAGCCTATCAAAGTGGATTATGTTACTATTCACATATAAAGATGAAAATATGGCACAGTAAGGTTCAGTTCAGTCGCTCAATCGTGTCTGACTCTTTGCTAACAGTAAGGTTAGGAGCCATAAAAAAGGCTAAACACCAAAGAATTGATGCTCTCCAATTGTGGTGCTGGGGAAAACTCTTGAGAGTCCCTTGGACTACAACGAGAGCAAACCAGTTGATCCTAGAGGAAATCAACCCTGAATGTTCATTAGAAGAACTAATGCTGAACCTCCAATACTCTGGCCTCGTGATGTGAAGAGCCGACTCACTGGAAAAGACCCTGATTTTGGGAAAGACTGAGGGCAGGAGAAGAGGGAGGCCGAGGATGAGATGGATAGATAGCATCATCAACTCAGTGGACATGAATTTGAGCAAACTCTGGGAGATAGTGAAGGACAGGGAAACCTGGTGCGCTACAGTCTATGGGGTCGCAAAGAGTCAGTCAGAGCAACTGAACAACAAAATTAGGAACATCTAAGGTCACGTACCTTGTAACCTTTTTGGCACTACTCATGTACTGATTACATCTGGGAGCTGCCAAGAAATAAGATAGTCCTTACTCTTAAGTAATTTATAGGCCAGTGGGAAAACTGTATTTAAGGAGGTAATACATAAACGTTAAATGAATATTATAGAAATAATGTTATAAGAATTTAGAAGACAAAACAGTTCCAAGTAAGGTGTATTCAGTTTTCAGTTTGGGGAATTAAGTTTGTGAATTGGCTAGGATTCCAGTGGCTAGGATTTTGATTGGAAGAATAGGTGATCCACATAGAAAGAATGATATTAACAAAGAACATCCTGGCAAAAGAAAAGTACAAGATGTGTAAATAAACCATTTGAGCCAGTTCATAGGGGAGAGACCTCCAAGGAACTTCTGGATCACACTGGAGGGTATTTAATGTCAGGCTGAGGAATATAGGCTAGTGCATTGTAGAGTCACTGGTTTCTGAATATGGTACAAAATGAACAAATCATTACTTAGAAAGAATATCAACTTTAATTCCAGTAAAATGTGGAGGAGGGAATGAGGGGGAAGAGTAGTGGTAGAGCCTACAGATTAAGGAGGTCAAAGAGAGGAAAATAATGTGTCTGTCATTAGAATATGATTAAAATCTGATTTAGACTTGGTGGTCTATATAGATGAAGCCATGTGACAGTAGACAGAATCTCTGCTTTCAGTTCTTTGGTTTTTTTTTTGTTTTGGGGTTTTTTTTTTTAGTTTAAATGAAAACTCACTTAATTCTTAAGATGAAGAACTACATAGAAAGGTATATTTATGGGATGATTTTAGAGTGGTTGAAATCAGGCAGGATTGGTCTTAGAACTGCAAGGAAGAGCTTTTATATAGTGCTTTAAGAAAAGACAATTAGAAGACAAAAGATAATGAATTAAGACAGGGAAAGCTACAAATATTTTAGAGTAAGTAACTGTGGGTTTCTTTTCTTTCTTGTTTTAAATTGAGGTGTTACATATATTAAAATGAACAGATTTTAAATTATAGATGAATATTTGCCGATGCATATACAACTTGTCGCCACCCAGAACTAGGTTTAGCATGTAACATGATGCCAAGACCCCAGAAGGCCTCTTGCATGCCTTTTCCTGTGCCTCTAATAGTGTTGGGCTGGTTCTTGAACTTCATGTGAATGGAATCAGACACTGTGTGTGCTCTCTTGTGTCTGTGAAGTGACTGTTTTCAGTTGAAGGAGTTTTTATTCTTAACAGGCTTTAGTTGTCTGTATCCAAGCAGTTTAAAAACATTTGAGGAGTTGATGTGAGATGCTAAGAAAGTGCATAAAGATAATGATATGTAGAGGACTGATTGTCTATTGAAAAGAAGTCCAATACACACATGAGAAGTAATAAGAGATTAATTTTTAAAAGAAATACTAAATATCAAGTTTGCCTGCTTTTATCATTTGTCAGTCGTATTAGTCAATGTTTGGACCAAATGCGGGCATATTTGATCAGTTGCATTTTATGTTCATGTAAATAGCAACAGGTCTATACATCTCAGCTTATGACGTCTTCTGGGGGTCAGACACTGCTCAGTGCTACACAGAGGTTCCTGCACCACAGAGGGTGGTCAGGAATACCTGTAATTTTCATTCTACTGAGGCAGAAACAGGCTGAGTTTCCTTTAGTGCCTGTGTGCTTCCTGAATTATGAGCATCTGTGTGAGCATGGTTAACAATTACGTATTTATGTGTTTGTGTATCTTCATTTCATCCTTATAGAACATCTGTGATTTTGGTGGTATTATCCGCACTTTACTTAGAAGGAAAGACCATTAGGGTTAAATAATTTGCCCAAGGTCACAAAGCTAATAAGGGACACAGCTAGGATTCAAATCCAGATTGGTCTGGGTCTAGCACTCATGTGTCGAACCATTATGTAACATCATTTCTCCAGTTTTTAATATTTAAAGGTGAATACTTTGTGAATTCTAATAGGAATATTTGATAAAATATTGGTGTGTAAATTTTACTTCAACAAAGCTTTTTTTATTTAATATTTCAAAAGGTAAAGGATCACGAGTGAATTAGTGATTCTCAGACTTTAGTCAGATTCTTACCCAGAAATATGATAAAATTCTGAGTGTTTGCATACCTTGTTTACAGGCTGTGCTCAGGTGACACTCTCTCTAGTGCTTTGCCACTTGCTAGCTGTAACTCGGTAAATATCTAATCTCCAAGTACCTGTGAAGAGGGACCATTTGAAGTAGCCTGATCCCATGTCTGGGGGAAACAATTTTTCCATGTAAGAATTAACTTTACTGTTTAGTGCTGATTTACAGATTACCTAAATCAAGATTTACTATGGAAGTAGAAAATTACTTCATTAGGAACTTTTCTAGGAAATCTTAAAGGCAGCTCAACAAAGGAAAAGTCTGGGTCCTAAGGTATTCGAGAAAGTCAGGAAAATCACCATGCAGGATGCCATTGTTCCTAACTAGAATTTGCCATTTTAAACATCAAAGCATTTTTTAAAAACTATTCTTTAATTACAAAAGTAATGAGTTTTTAATATCTATAGTAGGTGGCCCATACTGTAGTACTTGTTAAAGTCTTTGTTTCTCATCCTTATAGTTTTTAAGTTATCATTCTGTGGTGTTCAGCAAGCTCATCTGTTCTGTGGCAGAGTACATATGCTACCTCATCTTACCCTTTATTAGTTTTCTGCTTCAACTATGGTTTAAATTGGGCAATCAGGAATACAGGCTGGTTGAGATTGTCCCTGAACTGGGACTTAAAAGGAATTTAAAATGCACACACCCTCTGACCTAGCAGTGCTGCTAGAATTGGGAAATAAGTACAAAAATGTTTATTGGAATGCACTGTCTGCAGTAGCAATGGCGACGTCAGTAATAAAACTCTAAAATGAATAAATGCACACCGATCGGGAATGGCATAAATAAGTTATGGTACCTGGGAGGCAGTGTGTTTAGCTGCAGTCGAGTCGGACTGCTGATTTACAGCTTGGCTCTGCAACCTAATAGTTCTTGACATTGGACACATATATGAACATCTCTGTGCCTCAGTTTGTTCCTCTCAGATGACGACAATAAGGCTGTTGAGAACACCTACATGAGCTATTACTGTAGGCTGCCTGACAGCAAATGGGAAACAAGTGAAAGTGTGGAATGTAGATTATACAAAGTATAGGTAAATAAGAAGGAAGGGAATCGATTGAATGGCTGATTCTATTAGGTGTTGTGTAACGTAGGGGAATATATTTTGTTTTAGAAACTTCATAAAGAAGTTTCGTTTCAAAAAAAAGTTTCATTTCCACACCTTATTTACATGTATGGTCTCTAGCAGAATTATCCTTTGCCCAATTGAGCTGGAGTATTGTCCTCCAGCCCTTTTATAAATAACTTTCACAAAATGCCCTTGTATTTTAAGGTTCTTTGCTTTACAACTAAATATTACAGTATTCTTCCTCAAAGGCTAAAAGGGAACATTGCAGCCTCCTTTGTTTCTTCACATTCTACAAATTGTTTTAGTATTCATTGGTAGAACACATTTAGAGGTATCAAATCAGATAACCCTGCGGTTAGTAAAAGGTTTTTTTGTTGTTTTTTTTTTACTTTATGTTCTCTTCCTAGACTCTGTTTTGACAACTTTAAACATCTCTAGCCTTACCATCACTTTTTCATGGGTAGTTGTTTCTATCATTCTGTATTTGTGGGTGGTGTGTAGTTAGAGATGACAGGAAAGAAATTCCTAAGCATATTCCTAAATTAGGTAAGGAAAACAGCTATTTCATTAACAGCATCCATTTAACAATGTGACACCCATTTACACATTTTCTTTTTAAAAATTATTACTACAGGATAAAATATATTAACAGAGTTGGAACTTTGAAGGGGATGTGCTTTTGCTTAATATCATTCTGAATTTTTTTTAAAAGTCTTAATCAAATCTCAATTTTTGTAGTTTAGATGACAGAGGATAGATCATCAGTGGACAAATTCAACAAATTTTTTTTTTAATGTAGTCTCTCTTTTTTTAAAAAAAAGTATTAAAAAAATGTATGCCTACCCCTTTAACACTGAGGAAGCTGAAGATTAAAAAGATAATATCTCTGTAACTTCAGGGAATTAAATATAAAATGCACCTTTGTTAGCCTCTTTCTAGGGCAAAATTTATATATCCTTTTGCTTTAATATTTTATTTATAACTGTTGGAGCCAGTTCAACTATTCATTGAGAAAACAACAACATAAAATTATTATCTTAATTTATGTGAATTTATTCAATTACATTGAATTGTCTTAAAACAGGGTATGGTGATTTCAGAGGGTGATAAATATACATGTTTGTCACTAAACACATGCCAAGAGCACAACCTCATTGTTTTGAGTTGAACGAAAGCTCATTTTAGTTTATAGCTTCTAAGGTTCTTTACTTATTCACGTAAAATATTTATTTCAGTTTATGATTCACAGGAAAATCTGCTTTCCTTTTCCCATTTTCTTTTCATTTTCATTCTTTGTTTCTGTCTTCTATTGTTGCCTTTCCTTTACCTTCTGAACTCCTTTCTTTCCTTTTCTATAGGCACCGATGTTCTTTACATTGGCCCTCTGAAAGGTGAGCCTTGGCACAGTTGAAACACAAAAGTGTTGGTCTGTCTGCTTCAGCAATATCCTTAACTTACTCTAACTCTCTTGAACTGTTTTCCTAGAATTTCTACCAACTTAATTATATTTTTGACCTTACTGTTACATGTTCTTAATGCTATTCAAGTAAAGTTAATTTCACATGTTTCTAAGACAGGTAAAATAATGTACTAAAGCTTTCCCTTCCAGAACGAAGTTTGTGTTTTACAATGTGTTTTACATCATTATAGCATGTATTACTGAAAAGTAAGATAACTATACTTCATACTTACTACCTATTTTTCACATTATTTATTAGGAAGTATATATTCAAGCCCGGGACTTTATAGTAAAACAATGACCCCTACTTACGATGCTCATGATGGAAGCCCCTTGTCACCAACTTCTGCTTGGTTTGGTGACAGTGCTTTGTCAGAAGGCAACCCTGGTATACTTGCTGTCAGTCAGCCGATAACATCACCAGAAATCTTGGCGAAAATGTTCAAACCTCAAGCCCTTCTTGACAAAGCAAAAATCAACCAAGGGTAAGTTTTTGTTTTATTTTTGTTGTTGTTTTTTTGCTATTACAAATTACAAGGTTTTTTTAATTGAGGCATAGTTGACTTACAATATCGCGTTTCAGTTGTACAGCGCAGCAGTTCAGTTTCATATATATGCGTGTATGTGTGTCTATCTGTATGTGTAACTGAATACAGTTATACGATAGGTCCTTGTCAGTTGTCTTATTTTATAAATAGTAGTGTGTGTATGTTAATCCTAGCCTCCTAATTTATCCCTCCCAACCAAGGGTAAGTTTTAAAATATAGATACAATTTAAGAATTTCTTTGTCTACATAGAGGTAGAATTAATTCTGTCTTGCTGTGTTCCACTATGTTTGTTAATTTGTCCAGGTGGCTTGATTCCTCAAGATCTCTCATGGAACAAGATGTGAAGGAAAATGAGGCCTTGCTGCTCCGATTCAAGTATTACAGCTTTTTTGATTTGAATCCAAAGGTACCGAGGGTTTAGAGGGATCTCTTTTTGTTTCTCTTTGTTTCTTGGAAGTTGGTGGGGTAAGGAATTGCTTGGATATGGATAGCAAGTCTTGAATATAATATTAGAAACTCAAAACTTTGGACACGATTGACGGTATTTTAAAGAAGTCTATTTTAGTAGGTTGGAAGCATAACTAAACCCTTTTCTTTTTGTTAAGATGATTGAATTTTTGGTTGATTTGTATTTTTTAACTTTCTTTTATATTGAAATATAGTTGGTTAACAATGTTGTGGTAGTTTCAAGTATATAAGGAAGTAATTCGGTTATACATGTATCTGTTCTTTTTCAAATTCTTTTCCCATTTAGGTTGTTAAGTAATATTGAGCAGAGTTCTTTGTGCTGTACAGTAGGTCCTTCTTGGTTATAACTTCTAAATACAGCAGTGTGTACATGTCAACCCTGAACTCCCTAACTATTCTCTCTGCCACTCTTCCCCGCTGGTAACCATAAGTGTGTTCTGTAAGGCTGTCTGTTTCTGTTTTGTAAGTTCTTTGTATCATTTCTTTTTAGAATTTGCTTATAAGGAATATCATACCATACTTTTCTTTCTCTGTCTGACTTACTTCACTCAGTGTGACAATCTCAGTTTCCTCCATGTTGCTGCAGATAGCATTATTTCATTCTTTTTTTTTTAAAAAGACTTATGTATTTTATTTTAGCTTTGGCTGCTCTGGGTCTGTGTTGCTGTGCATGGGCTTTCTCTGGTTGTGACACGCAGAGGCCAGTCTCCAGTTGTGGCGCACAGGCTTCTCTTGTTGCAGAGCACAGGCTCTAAAGCACATGAACACAGTAGTTGCGGTGCATAGGCTTAGTTGCTGTGCAGTATGTGGGATCTCCTGGACCAGGGATTGAACTGGTGTCCCCAGCATTACAAGGTATATTCTTAACCACTGGATCACCGGGGAAACCCTGTTTTGTTCTTTTTAATAACTTTGTAATATTCCATTGTATATATGTGCCACATCCTCTTTATTTATTCCTCTGTTGATGAATATTAGGTTGTTTCCATGTCTTGGCTATTGTAAGGAGTGCTGCAATGAATATACGGTTGCATGTATCCTTTTGGACCATGTTTTTCTCTGGATATATGCCCGGGAGTGGGATTGCAACATCATATGATAGCTCTATCTTTAGTTTTTTAAGGAACCTCCATACTGTGTTCCATGGTTTGTATTTACTACAGAGTTGGTAAAGTTAATTTATGTTTTTTAATATCGCTTTTCAATTCTACTTTAGGTAGAAGAAAAGTTTTCTGAAAGATTACCTATTCAATTACTTTCAAATTTCTAATTACATATCCCAGATGCTGCTTCAAAAAAATTCTTTTTAAGTCTACATTTCTCTCAGTTTCATAGCCAAACATTGTAATATGTTTTTGCTGTCAAGTGGTTGTCATCATCTCAGCTACTGAAATACTGTGCTTTTCTGATAAGATGTAAATTTGCTATGAAATCTGGAGTGTTTCTCCCAGAAACACATGACACAAAGATTTGGATCTTTTGCCTTCGTATCATCCTTGTGGGTGGGAGGACTTCTCTTGTCTGCCTCTCATACTTTTCATGTCTAGATTGTAGCCTATTTTAATGTATGTATTTATCATCTTAAATTATGTGCTTAAATAATACTTTGTACAACACTAAAATGTATATAGAATTACAGAAAATCATTTTAATTCTTTTTTAGGCTATATCATACCTAATTTTGGTAAAGCCAAAGGTTTCTGGGAACACAGTTACATTTGCATGGGGTAGGAAGGGGCTATGCATTTTGTTACTTTTCTAAGCTATATAACTACTGGTTTTTATTAATATAACTGGATAATTCAGTAACACTTAAGTAAGTCTTTTCCACAAATGTGTGTGGACCCTTTATTTTGAATTTTTAAAATAATTACTGTTTCCAAGGACCTGCTACTTTGTCTGGGTATGCATTTCCACAGTAAGCAAGATGTTCCCTGAAATAATTAATTTACTCTGTGATTATGACATGTTAGTGTAAGTTGGAAAACAATACTGAAAAGCAGTCGGTTCTGCCTTACTTTAATGTCTTCAAGTTAAATTCCTTTTGTTAAGGGCTAGTATACCTAATGGTTATTACCCTGGAAAATAACATACAGAATCTACTTCTAATACTGAATATGTAAAAATATTTTGGCATATTTTAATGCCATTTTTAATGAAAAAATTAAAGATGGTATATATAGATATGTATGACCCTAAGGGTAGCTTTTTTCCTTATTGCTAATGTTAAAGGTAACATATTATAAAAGAATTGTGTCTCTTTTTGCTGCAGTATGATGCAATCAGAATCAATCAGCTTTATGAGCAGGCCAAATGGGCTATTCTCTTGGAAGAAATTGAATGCACCGAAGAAGAAATGATGATGTTTGCAGCCTTGCAGGTAGTGAAGAGTATTGGTAAATTGGACTTTAAAGGGGAATGGGGAGGGGATTATTTACATGGTAAAGTGGCATAGTAATTCCAGTAGTATTTTGATATGTTTTATTTTTTGCTATGTAGAAAGTGAATAGACACTTAGAAGGCAAAATATGTGAATTTAATTTTTTTGTCTTATGTGTGAGTTTAGTGGTATACTTAAGTAGTTACTTTTCTATATCCTCCGACCCCCAGATCTATATTAGCTTTAAACTATCCAGTTTTCCCCTGGAAATAAAATCCGTATTAAAAATCAGATTTCTGAAATGAAGCCTTGCATAACTTCATAAATAACTGGGAATGGTAATATTTGTAAAATGGGCTATGGCAGAAATTAATACCTTTTAAGATGATAAAATTTTAATAGACTAGTAAAACTAAACATAAATAAGTCTTTAGAATGACGGTTCCTTAATAAGCAAGTAACTAACATTAAGCTAGTATTTTTCCAAATGTGGATCTTGCATATTTCAGAATTATAGTAGGGCTTACCAAGAAATTAATGTCCACTGATCTCCCCTCTGGTAAAGTAATATTAGGATGGCACCCACAGTTCCGCATTCTTAGAGACACTGAGATCTGACTGACCACTAGATTAATCTTTCTAGATGAATCATTTCAGATATCTAAGTGTTCTCAGATTATGGTGGAATTCCATTTTCACGTAAAGGTCTGATTAAGTTGATGTTCTTTGAGTACTATAAGCAAAAAGAACATTTAGTTTTGAATGTCTTTTACTTTAACGGTGATTTAATTCTTCATTAGAACACAAATAAAAATGCTGTCCATCTTCCAAATGCTTTTATGTACCCAGAAAAGTGTCTCAGTTAAGACTCACAACATTGTTTTTTTGAGAGGAAGAACAGCTCATTTCTTCTTTGTTTACATTCTAAAAGAGGGAAATCAAAATGAACTCCAGACGGTAAATGAATGAAATAGTTTAATTATTTATTTTCTAGAGACTTGCTTAATCAGATAAGACTCTTTTATGTTTCTGGATCATTCAGGCTACCTGAAGAATTTCTTGAATTAAACTCTGGAACAGTTTTTGGAAAATATCTCACTTGGTTACAGCATTCTCTCTACATTTTTCCCACTTAGAGTAAGGGCTTTTAATTCTCTAGTGAAAATTTTGCTGATGACAAAGTAATAAGAAAACTTGTAAAATGTATATTGAGAAAACCACAGCTTTTCTTACATAGTATTTCTTATCTTTTTTATTATAAAAATAATGCATTTTTTTTAAAAGCCAACAGTTATATGCAGTGCCCAGCACATAGTAGGTGTTCAAAAAATAGTTATTTAATGAGTGTACACATAGTCATATTGTCACAGAAATGGGACTATTCTGTGGCTTTCCCCAACTCCCACCCCATCCAGCAAACATTAGATATTCCGTTTCGATTTAGTAGAAAAACACCTCAGAATGCTGGATTTTAATTCATGGCGACTGAATGCCCCAAAGCATAGCTTTCCCTGGACCATTTTAGAATCTAGATTCAGTGAGAGAAATTTGGACTACAAATCCCCTGAGTTGTTAGAAGCCTTCCCAGAAACTGACCCAAAGCCTCTTGGAAGCCGTCCAGCCCAAGAAGGGGGAAACTCGGAAAATATGGCAAGGAGATGCTTAGTATTTTTTATTTTAGACATAGGCTGCACCCTGAACTATTCTTTTATTAGAACTTCTGGTTCCTTGTGTAAAATAAATCTACAATAGTAAAAAGAAACAAAGTACTTCAAAGTAAGAAGTTGTGGATTTTGAAAAGTTAGAAAAGTTAGTAACACTGTTTTTTAAGCATTTAGGTCCAATCATGTATTGTAACATTTAACAGATGCCCCACCCATGCACATTTGAAAGCAAAGCTGGATTTTATGACCAGTCCCATTCACAGCCAGGATTTCTCCAGTATAACTCATAAGGACCTTCTGCATCAGATTCATCTAAGACACTTAGCAGCCTGGAGCCCAGGCAAGACTCCAGATTTGCTGAGTCACAATCTCTGAGGGTGAACCTGAGCATCTCTGTGTTTAACCAGCTCTCCGTATGCTTCTGATTATACTCTGATATTTGAGACCACTGCCTGAGAGCCTCAACCTACCTCCCTCTCCATGGTTTGTGAATATGAAAGTTTTCTACCATTATAAGGATCTCATTTCAACACAACTGAAGATATAGCCAGAGAGTAGTAGTTGTTAGTCGCTAAGTTTGTGACCCCATGGACTGTAGCCTAACTGTAATCCATAGGCTATAGCCCAGCTATAGTCCTCTGTCCATGGGATTTCTCAGGCAAGAATACAGGAGTGGGTTGCCATTTCCTTTTCCAGGGGATCTTCCCGACTCAGGAGTCAAACCTGTCTCCTGCATTGGCAGGCAGGTTCTTTACTACTGAGCCACGAGGGAAGCCATGGCTAGAGACTAATCATTATTAATTCACTAAATCTTAAAATAGAGGAAGCTATTGGCCTCTATTAGTTAATTAGATAATTGGCCTCAGCATTAGTTTACTAATTGTTCCCATGAACAGATTGTATTTGGTGAATGAATCCTTAAGAAATAAGGATTGCTACTTATTTAGTGCTCTGAAAGATAACTGATTAAGTGATTTAAAAGTTTTGCTTAGCAAGGATATACAATGGAAAAAAGACAACCTCTTTAACAAGTGGTGCTGGGAAAACTGGTCAACCACCTGTAAAAGAATGAAACTAGAACACTTTCTAACACCATACACAAAAATAAACTCAAAATGGATTAAAGATCTAAATGTAAGACCAGAAACTATAAAACTCCTAGAGGAGAACATAGGCAAAACACTCTCCGACATAAATCACAGCAGGATCCTCTATGACCCACATCCCAGAATTTTAGAAATAAAAGCAAAAATAAACAAATGGGACCTAATGAAACTTAAAAGCTTTTGCACAACAAAGGAAACGATAAGCAAGGTGAAAAGACAGCCCTCAGATTGGGAGAAAATAATAGCAAACGAAGCAACAGACAAAGGATTAATCTCAAAAATATACAAGCAACTCCTCCAGCTCAACTCCAGAAAAATAAATGACCCAATCAAAAAATGGGCCAAAGAACTAAACAGACATTTCTCCAAGAAAGATATACAGATGGCTAACAAACACATGAAAAGATGCTTAACATCACTCATTATCAGAGAAATGCAAATCAAAACCACAATGAGGTACCATTATACGCCAGTCAGGATGGCTGCTATCCAAAAGTCTACAAGCAATAAATGCTGGAGAGGGTGTGGAGAAAAGGGAACCCTCTTACACTGTTGGTGGGAATGCAAATTAGTACAGCCACTATGGAGAACAGTGTGGAGATTCCTTAAAAAACTGGAAATAGAACTGCCATATGACCCAGCAATCCCACTTCTGGGCATACACACCGAGGAAACCAGATCTGAAAGAGACACGTGCACCCAATGTTCATCGCAGCACTGTTTATAATAGCCAGGACATGGAAGCAACCTAGATGCCCATCAGCAGACGAATGGATGAGGAAGCTGTGGTACATATACACCATGGAATATTACTCAGCCATTAAAAAGAATTCATTTGAATCAGTTCTAATGAGATGGATGAAACTGGAGCCCATTATACAGAGCGAAGTAAGCCAGAAAGATAAAGACCATTACAGCATACTAACACATATATATGGAATTTAGAAAGATGGTAACGATAACCCTATATGCAAAACAGAAAAAGAGACTCCGATGTATAGAACAGACTTGTGGACTCTGGGAGAAGGCGAGGGTGGGATGTTTCAAGAGAATAGCATCGAAACATGTATATTATCTAGGGTGAAACAGATCACCAGCCCAGGTTGGGTGCATGAGACAAGTGCTCGGGCCTGGTGCACTGGGAAGACCCAGAGGGATCGGGTGGAGAGGGAGGTGGGAGGGGGGACCGGGATGGGGAATACGTGTAAATCCATGGCTAATTCATTTCAATGTATGACAAAAACCACTGCAATGATGTAAAGTAATTAGCCTCCAACTAATAAAAATAAATGGAAAAAATAAATAAATAAAATGTAGAAATGCAGTTTTTCAGTTGAAAAAAAAAAAGTTTTGCTTAACTTTGTATAAAACCTCTTAAGTTTAGCATCAGGATCTAATCATTAAAATTTGTTCTAAACCATTTATCTAAGTGTGTTTAAATCATGACTAGTTCTACACCCAAAGATTTTCTTATATACATATAGGAGGACTTAATCACTACTCATTATGTATATACATATATGTATATGTGAGTATTCATGTGTGTCAGGGGTGGTGTATGTATTCACATATAAACATGTTTATTCTTAGGTGTAAATGACAATGTAAATTAGGTTTTCAGCATTGAATTGAAGATGGGGGTGGGGCATTGAAACTCTAGTTTTCAACATAATAGCAATAACTAACTTCCCACTGCAGGGTAATAGTACCCAGCAGTAGTAAGTAGTAATAGTAATAAGTAAGATAAGGTAACCAGTGTTAATGCATTTATTCAGAAGACCTTATGCATATTCTGTTCATTCATCCAGTACCTGTCACTTCGAGCTTGCGTGCTAGACAGGGAATACTGCAGGGGGGGTGGGACACTTAAAAGTCACTGCTTGCGTAGAGTTCAGTGGAAGAGGTGTTAACTCTTAAATCCTAGGGATTCCTAAACTGAATTCATTTGTGTTTGTCAAAAAAAATCCTCCTTTTTTGAGTAAAGATTTATTAGCAGGTTTAGGACACTGATTTCAGGTGCCATGCCCATCATTTTTCTATCCTTCTAATTCTTGGGAGACTTTTAACCTTTCAGATTAGGTGACAAAAGGCATTCAATATAGATACAGATAATAATCTCACTTTAAAATTCATAGTTAGAAAAATAATTTAAATAAAATGTCACTTCTGGTTTTAGTATCATATCAATAAGCTGTCGATCATGACATCAGAGAATCATCTGAACAACAGCGACAAAGAAGTTGATGAAGTTGATGCTGCCCTTTCAGACCTGGAGATTACTTTGGAAGGGGGAAAAACATCAACAATTTTGGTAGGGTGAATCTTTTACCTATTAATTTAGTCTGATGCTTATACCTTTTTATGGAATTAGGTTTTCATGAAGTGTTCGAGACATAAAGAGAAATATTAAATGCTTTAGAGAATAGAGACATAGATTTTCCAGAAATTTTCAGGGAAGTTTTTTACATTAATACTGTTTAGTCTCTAGTGCTTCCAACACAGTAGAGAGATATCTTCTGCCAGTACAGTCTACACATTCTCTTACAAGTAGTGGGAGAACATTTCTGCAGAGGAAAAGTTAACTTCAAGCCATGGTAAAATCCGTTTATTGATCTCCAAATCTGAAGTATTACAAAAAGAAGAGGAAATAGATCTCAGTAAAATTTTTAAATGCTTAGATATTAGCTATTACAGAAGAAACACTATTCTCAGGACTGTTATGATTCAGAAAATTTCTGTATGCAGCTATAAACAGTTTTAGCCATATTAGAATCAACACTGCATTCTTGTGGGTTGTCTAAATTGCTGTATTGATCAAATTTTTAATAGCTTTTTATGCCATTTGAAAATGCCTTTGTACTATATGACCATGTATATAGTACCTTTAAAATCTTTATAATCTGTAATTTATGTAATTTTCATTGTTTATTGAACAAGCTAGTTCTTAATATCAGATGCTAAACAGAGTTTCAAAATTTTTTAAAGTGAGAAAAAAATGTTTTCATTCTTCTCCTAGGGTGACATCACTTCCATCCCTGAACTTGCTGACTATATTAAAGTTTTCAAGTAAGTACAAAAGAGGAGGAATTCCAAATATTAATAAATAAATGTCAGTTTTATAGTCACGTTCACATTGTTGAAATTTATGTGACTGGCAAATGCATCTCTAAAAGCATTTGCCAGTTATATGAACACTAAATTATAATGTGGAAAAATTTCACTTTTACAAAATTAAAATTCCTGTACTTATTAAGTTTCATCTGATAAACATTTTACTTAAGGCGGGGAGGAGATTGTGTTACTTAGATGGATTGTATCATGCAAATTCTAAAACATATGGTTCATATAAAGCATCCTGTCTAGGTGAAAGCAGTACATAGTGAACTGCTATTTTCAGTGGTTATTTCCTTGTTGAGAGTCCCAGAATTTATTGGATTCTACTCATTTGTTCATGGGATATTTTACAACACGATTCCAGAGTATCTCATCTAGATTTTTAAATGGTTGGTCTAGTCATACTCCACAGAATCAAGAGAGCTAGGCATTAAGACAGAAAGAGGAAAGGAGGTGATGTGGAATATAAGCTCTGGAATAAACCATTTATTGTAGCTGAACATAAAACAGCTCCACATAGTAACGTTTCTAAGCTACTGACCTGATTTCAGATGCTGCTCCCTACCTCCACTTTGTTTTCCTTTTACCCACCTTTTTCATCTACAGACACTTTTCCTTATCCTCTCTTCCCCATGCTTCATGCTTGGCATTGGAGTGGCAAGTGAAAGTCACTGCAGTACATCCCTAGAGATAATCACTTCGCGCACTTGAGACTTGCCAGGCAAACTGGCCTGTTCAGGGAGGCTCTGGAGGCAGCCCTGCAGACACCATGAACCTGCAGGTACTTACAGGACCCAGGAACCTTCCAGTTATTGACATTTCCTTCACTTTTACTTTCCTCTCCTTTCCATGTGACCTGCTACTGATGGGGACAGCTACAACTGACAGAAATACTGGAATGTTATCCTTAGGGTCTTTCTCTGCCCACTCACTGTAATATCTCCTGAGCAGATTGAGAAGGAGGGGAAATTCCAGTAACAGTAACACTGAATAGAACACACTAGACGAAAAGGAACTGAACTTGGCATATATAAAACTTGTCCTCAGACTTTTAATATTGTGAGATTTTGCTGCTAAAACATAGCATTGATAAAGTTGTTTCAAAAGTGTTTTTTCCCCCTTCTAATTCTGTTCGACACATAGGCCAAAAAAGCTGACTCTAAAAGGTTATAAGCAGTACTGGTGTACCTTTAAAGATACATCTATTTCTTGTTATAAGAGCAAAGAAGAATCCAGTGGAACACCAGCTCATCAGATGAACCTAAGAGGTAAGGAAAGCCTTGGAATGACCATATTGATGGTAGAATATCTATTAGCTAATATTCACTAAACTTCATTTTGCTGGGGGATAAAGCTTTTAGCAGTTCCTTTTGCTCCGTTAGGTACTTTTTTTAAGTTCAGTATTCAGTTTCCCGTGAATATTTTGTTCTAATATCTGTGCAGGCCTCGCTTGAAGGGTATGCTTCTACTTTTATCCCAAATAAATCTGTGGCGTCCCTTTTTTGTTCTTCAGCATGAGGACATGTAGGTTTTCTCTTTCTGCGGGAGCTGCCCGCATATCCGTTTCAGATTCTGCCTCATTCTCATCTCTGCTGTATCCCTCTCCCAGGTTTTGGGGCTGTCTCTATCAGCATCCTACTCCTTTTCCTCACCTTAACAGGTAACCAGCTGGTTCAGCTCAAGTCCCCAGTCTGTTGGCTTTCTGACTCACCAGTGGGTTAGCCACTGCAGGGTTTCACTGAGTTCTTCCCCTTTCCCAACACCTCTCACCTGCACAATTTTGTTGTCTTCGACACTGCTCTCATCCTGGCTCCCGGGGCAGCCCCAGGAGCCCTCTGAGGCTCCTTCCTAGCTGACGGCCTAAATCTTGCTGGTTTCCTCTTACCTCTGTAGATCCACAGCTGTCTCAGAACAGGGGCTAGTATTTGAGCACATGTTGCTGCACCTGTTCTCACGGTCCTGTGGCCTAGACTGAGTCCGGCCAAGGGCTCAGAGCTGCTGGTTTTGGTCTTCTTTTCCCCCATTCAGGTCTGTGGAGTTACAGCTTCATTTGGGCTTTAGTGACTTCCGTTTGTTCTTCACCTTTTTGAAAAACCTGTTGGATGCATTGGTTCAGGGGGGAGGAGCATTTCCTCTCCTGGCTGGCCTGGTTCTTCTGCAGCTGGAGGACGTCCTGATGCCCCTTGCTCTGATTTCTCTCTACACAGCCTTCGGCTGGGCTTGCAGATTGCCCATGAGCCTCTCACTTGCAGTGATGTTACTTAAAGCTGCCAGCTCACTTCTAGTTTAGACACCACTGCCTCTAGGAAGCCATACCCCTGAGAACTGCTCTCCTACACGCTCACACAGCACTTTCCACACCCTTGGTCCCTAGCATGTGTGCTGGAGGATGCAGGACACATTGGCTTCTCACTGTTCACACTCCTTTTACTGTCCTTTCCTTATAGCAGAGGCTAGAAGACTAAAGTACATTTTCCAGATTCATTTCCAGTGAGACTGAGATTCCAATCAGATGCATTCTTGCATTCCAGTCAGATGAATTCCCAACTGAGTTAAGGGGTTGGAGAGGCAATTAGGAAAGGATTTAAGTGTTTCCGGACTCTGGAGTTACATCTGTAGATCTGTAATCTCTATTTTTTTGGTACATTGTGTATTAGAATACTTTTAGTATATTTCAGCAAAATGTCCAAATCTCTACCCTGTCTCTATTCTGCCTAGTAGTCATCTGTGAACTATTGCTTTATAATTACATGTGTGTGTGCTAAGTTGTGTCCAATTCTTTACAACCTTATGGAGTGTAGCCCGCCAGGTTCCCCTGTCCATGGGCTTCTTCAGACACAAATACTGGAGTGGGTTGCCCTGCCCTCCTCCAGGGGATCTTCCCTACCCAGGGATCAAACCCACATCTCTTACATCTCCTATATTGGCAGACGGGTTCTTTACCACTGGTGCCACCTGTGAAGCCCATTTATAGTTATATACATTTTATTAAGGGGCTTCACTCATAGCTCAGTTGGTAAATCATCCACCTGCAATGCAGGAGACCCAGGTTTGGTTCCTGGGTTGGGAAGATCCCCTGGAGAAGGAAATGGCAACCCACTCCAATATTCTTACCTGGGGAATCCCATGGACAGAGGAGCCTGCCAGGCTACAGTCCACGGGATCTCAAGAGTCGGACACAACTTAGCATCTAAACCACCACCACAACCACCGCATTTTAATAAATAGAAAAACCTCTGTGCTGGGGTAGAAGATTGCTATGCCCACGTGTTGAAATTCTGTAATTTTCCTAAAACGTCTAGTTAGACTCACTGCCTTTCTCCCTAGGTCAGGAGTTTTTAACTTTTGGATCTTTACCATTATTTGTTACTCTCAGAATACATTGCAGCTGTCCTCTTGCTTCCCTTCCACGCTGCCCAGGATCCACTCCGATTATCCACTCTCGATTCAGAGGTTTAATCGGTCTTCTGGACCCCATCTTCTCTGTCCCTATTACGTCCTTAGTCTTCTCTTTACATGACTGAGAGGTTAAGTCCTGGATGGAGAACAGTTTACAGGGTGTCCTAATCCCACTTCTCCCACGTCTTTCCAAAGGAGTGCTTTTCTAGCATATCACACTGGTGAGGGTAACACTAGCCTAAGAATCAAATGCCCTAGGTTCTGCTCTGCCACAAAACAAGCCCTGTGATTTTGGAAAAATAACTATCAGGACCTTAGTGTCTTCCTCTGAGTAATGAGAGTGTTGGACTAGATGCTAAGGCCCCTAAGATATCTCAAACACACAGTTCTAAAAAATGCAGGTCAGCAGATGCTGACTGGTCACCCATGCCACACACTGTGCCAGGTACCAGAGTGATGAGCAAGAACAGATTACAGTCACATTCCTAAGATGTCAGAGAATGTCAGGAAATAAACAGCTACAATCTGGGCAATAGTGGTACTTTAAAAAGTAAGCAGTAGGTCAAAGGAACAAAGCGGTAAGGATGCTGTATCAACCTTCAGTGATTTTGGAGAAAATTAGGGGAAGCTTAATAGGGGAAATAACATTGGAGTTAAGATCCCAAAAAGAAAATTGCTATCCGTGAAAGGAAGGAGGAGAGTTGGTAAAAGAGACTGATGTGCAGAATTGCGTGGGGAAAATCATCAGCAGTCATGTGGTGGGTGGATGAGGGGGCATGCTTCTGGAGTATGGAGTTGAAGCTGGGAGGATGAATCCTTCCCTAATAGCTGCTGAATCCATTCCTTTTAACAAGAAAGGTGACAGCAGGAGTTAAAGTTGTTAAGGAGATTGTTTTCTAAACTGGCAGCAATGAAGTGACAGTGAAGGATTATGAATACGATAAGATTCATCATCCTTACATTGGCTGCAATGTAGAAGAGTAGTTATAGAAAAGTGATACTGATCCAGGTTACACTTATCGGCATGGGTGAGAAAAGGGCACAACTTTGTTAGATTCTCAGGACGTTCAGTCAACAGACTGGATGATTGACCTGGGAGAGGCTGGGGGAGTGACTTGATCCTGGCTTGTACAGTTGGGTGGATAGGGTAATTCTGAGATTGAGAATATATAAGAGCAGAGTTTGGGGAGGAAGATGAGCTAAATTTAATTGGGTTATTTTAAATTTGAGGTGCCGGTGGTGTATCTGTTTGGAGCATGGGTAAGATCCATGCTGCAGGTACTGATGGGGTAGCAGTGAGTATTAATAGTAGATGCAGCCTTTGTAGTAGTTGTCTATAATATGAAAAGGCTGAGAGCAGAACCCTGCAGGACACCCATGTTTAAGGGACAGGGCAGATTAGAGGAGGTGGAACTTGCAAGGGAAATAAACAACAAAAATATCTAGGAAGACCATGGAAATGAGGTATGATAGAAGTTAAAGGACAGAGTAGTTAATAGTATCAAATACTACAGAAAAGTTAGATTAAGCTTCCATAAGATTTAGCCACATGGAGGTGGTTCATGGCCTCTATTAAGAACAGATTCATCAGATTTCAGTGGGCTTTTATGCATGGGAGGCAAAGTACAGTCACTGAAATGGGAAACAAAGATAGCTTTTTGATGAACCTCATCTGTGACAGGCAAGGAGGAAAAAGTGCAGTAATAGAAGAGAGAGGCCTAAAATGGGGGGGTGTTTTATGGTTTAAGATGGGAAGACTCAAGGAAGTTAAATGCTGATGGAACTGTCATGTAGATAGGAAGGGAAGTGGGAGGACAGGATCTCTGTGATGGAACAAGGTACCTGACAGATGGTAGAAAACTCTGCCTGCTCGGATAGGAGAGGTTCCTTTTCCTCTGTGTGGACGTGGGGGTGGCCAGGTTTATCTGCTTTGGTGGCAGGAAGTTGGGGGACCTCATTTCTGATGGCTTTCATGTTCTTGGAAAAATAACAGGTGAGGTTGTTCTCTAAGAGTAGCATAGGCGGCCTGAGAAGATGTGAAATAAAGTGTTAAGGGGCAGATTGATGTTAGGAATCTACGTGTTTCTAGTGCAACTTACCTGCTCAGTTTTGTGATTTTCCCCGCCGCCGCCACTTTAGAGTGCTCAGCAGCCAGAGCATAGGCAAATAAGAGGTAGGTGATTGGGTTGAGCCAAGATTAAGGTTTTGCTAAGTGTGTATGATGGAAAGACAGTGAGTCTGGTGAGTTAGAGGTGACAGCTAGTGAAGCAGGGTCCAGGCCGGACTGCAGAGAAAAGGTGGAAACATGGAACCAATGGGGAGAGAGTTGTGGGGTCACAGGATTGGGTCTCCCAAAGATTTTAAGGGGATTTAGGATTGAAGATTGTGCTCAGAATGGGCTGTTTGCAGTTAACATTTCAGAGGGTTAGTAATTGGGTTGCAGTAAGGTCCAGCATGTTACCATGGAAGTAAGTAGCCAAGGAGGTGTGGAGTGAATATTGTCTGAAATGTGGCTTCTGAGTGCCTCTGCCTGCACTAGTGCCTGAGTTACCATTCTCTTTGTCTCTCTCCTTGGAGTTTTCTTGATATTTTACTTTAAAAAGAGGTCTAATTATTATGGAGTTGCATACTTGAAATATATTTGAATGATTAATGAAATTTGTGGAAAAGATTGTATATCTTCAAACATCTCTTTGTTTTAACTTTGCAGGTTAAACACATTGCCACACAACTTTCTGAGTGTTTGTAATGATTGTATAGGAGTTACATGTGGTAGCTATGTGAAGTAAATATTCTAAAAAGAAAGCAAAGAGTGAGGGAAAGTTCATCAAATTCAAGATTGAAGTTAATTCTGAAGACGAGAGGATCTCTCCTTTATCTAAATGTTTTGTTTCTTTTATTTGCTTCTTAAAACATTTATTTGATGAGGTAAAAAATGATAGTTTAAACATTTGTTCAGATACATAGAAGCTTACTAGCTTGTTGCTTGTACTTTCTTTGTCAGGAGAAGTTGCTCCAGCTCAGGGACAAAGGCAACAGCAGGCTCTGCTAACAGTTTACATTCTTCCCCACAGAGTCTACACTATGGTCTTAACACACATTGAGGGCAACATGAGCTAAGTACTAACAATTGGAATACTCTTTGGGGAGCTTTGATATAATCTTTATCTTACTGATCCTTACAGCATCACTGTGAGAGCTTAAGGTCAGGGAATTTGGGCATAAGTAAATATGATATACTTATTAAGTGGTCAAGAAAGGTCTGGAACCCAAATCTGTCTGCTTACAGAGCTCTTCTTCACTATTTTATACTGGTTACTAGTTTAGGCTGACCATTGCCCCATTATCTATCTGGGTATACATTCAGTAAATCTGTTTTCTCTCCTATAAAGCCATAAACTAATGGTTAACAGAGTTGATTACAGGGATTTTTTTACAGTCTGTAAATGTACATATTCCTGAAAACTTGCCAGTAAAGTGAAATTCTGCATGCCCTTACTTTCATACTGACTTCCCATGTATGTAAGTTTATGTTACCTTCTGTGTCAGATGGACTCCCAGAATTGTGTGCAAATCAGGAGAGCCTGTGCCTTAGTCTTCCTCGCACACAGCCATAGAGGGCAGAGCAGTGGGGCCCTGAGGAGGCCCTCGTATCGGACTCCAGCTCACACTGGCTGGTTCCCCACACATGTGCCTTTCTTAAAACGCATCATAAAGTCATTTATTCTGACCAGAAAACACTTTAGAATTTTATTATGGAAAGATATTTTAAAATCCCTGTACATGTAGAAACTTAGCAAAAAAAAAGCCCTAATAACTTAAGATTCAAAGAACTGAATGATATTAAAATAGTAATGTGTGAAACTTGTGGGAATGGAGTGCAAGTTTTCTATGTATAATATCCTTTTAATAGAACTCTTTCCTTCTCTTCTCAATCAAGTTTTGTGAATTGTGAGGGCCACACACTGTGCAGTTACATCTCTTGTTTATTAGGTCTGAGTTGAGTCTTTGCTCCACCCCCAACAAAATTACTAAACGTAAAGAATTCCCTGATTTGTAGATTCCATTAACATGTTAAGATGCCATAAAATGGGAACTGCCTGTATTGGCTTGGGATTTCTTAAGTGTAAATTTAACCATTTTAATAATTTTTTAACTACAGGGTGTGAAGTTACCCCAGATGTGAATATTTCAGGCCAAAAATTTAACATTAAACTCCTCATTCCGGTTGCAGAGGGCATGAATGAAATCTGGCTTCGTTGTGACAATGTAAGTTTTTTGATTAAAAATAAACCTTAATTTGGGGGATGTCCCTGTTGGGTCCAGTGGTTAAGACTCTGCGCTCCCAGTGCAGGGGTCATGGGTTCAATCACTGGTCAGGGAACTAAGATTTCACATGCACAGTGCAGCCAAAAAAAAAAAGTAAACCTCGGTTTTCTTTGCTTCCTTAGTGAGTTGACCATTCATTCTTTTTTTTTTTTTCATTCTTATATTTTATACTCAAAGGATCTATCATGTGATAGATTCCAAACCTCAGTATTTCTTTTCACAGGAAAAACAGTATGCACACTGGATGGCAGCCTGCAGATTGGCCTCCAAAGGCAAGACCATGGCAGATAGTTCTTACAACTTAGAAGTTCAGAATATTCTTTCCTTTCTGAAGATGCAGCATTTAAATCCAGATCCTCAGTTAATACCAGAACAGATCACAACTGATATAAATCCTGAATGTCTGGTGTCCCCTCGCTATCTAAAAAAGTACAAGAACAAGCAGGTAAACGGTTTTCTACATATACTTTAGTTTCCCCTCTTAAACACAACTTTTTTAGTCTTAATTGGTAGTCTTGATTTTTTATCAGGTGGTTAAAATATAAGGAAAAAATAGCTTGCAGTCAGTTTAAATTGGTCATTTAAGAAAAGTCTTATTATTTTAATAGGATGGATAATGAGGTAAAATAGTTGGGAGCATATTTATTCTAAACCACCTGAGGAAATTACTCTGCTAACTGGATATTCTTTTCAGGGAATTGAATATGGTCTTACTTACTGCTTTGTGTTCCACAGTTCATGCCATTTTATTTCTTAAATAAAGTAAATGTGATCCAGAGCACAGCCAGCATTTCCCAGCCAAATCTCTGATGACTCTTCTTGCTATTGAAATGGACCTTTCCAGCTTTGGAAATAAACTTTACGTGGTTTATAGTCCACATTTAACATTGTCTTTTCTTAACATTAACAGTCAAAACCTAAGCTAGATTTGTATAATATGACAACGTTTGGTAAATTTTCATTGAAATTCACTGCTTTTGTTCCCTCTGTTTAGAATTCCTTTTCTGGAAATGACTGCCATAAAAGGATTGCTATTTAGAAAAATGGTTCTTCGGTCCAACACAAAAGGTTCTTTGCCAGGGGAGTTTCACTTGGGATAGCCCCCAGTATTCTCGATACCCAGCATCATACCATAAAAGGGAAAAGGCTCCAATTTAGGAAGGGGGTGAAGAAGAACTTTGAAATAAATACTTCATTTTTAATCTAGTTTCATTTTTATCTTTGTTAAGGAGTAATTTTAAAATGTTATGGGAAAGGCCCAGTGATACACCCAGAACACTTGTTAATTCTTAACTTTAAATATAGTGTTTATCATATGGGTCTGAAATCCCTTAGCTGGAAATGTTCAAAAGTTTTAATCATCAAGTATTTGTCTTTTAAGTTGCAGAAGTTGTGTAAGCTACATAGAAATTGTTTATCCCATAGTCATATGATGTGGGAGTAGTGAGGAATGGAGGAAATGCCCTCGGAGCTGTGTGGAATGTAGATTGTAAGTTAACAAGGGAAAGTGAATCGAGTACTAATTTCATTTTTTAATTCTTAGGTTAATTCATTTTAAAGTTACTTATAAAGAGACTTGTTTCTAAAAGTGGATGCCTTCAAAGTCAGTGACTAGTTTCAAATCTTAGCAGTTTTACCATTTCACTATCAGGTATTAGGAATAAAAGATCTTAAACTAAAAAAAAAAAATCTTAAACTATAATTGTGAAGATTGCCAAATGTTATTTTAGCTGTCAGACAGGTACTGAATTGTTTTCCCAGAAGCCTTTAAAATGATAGATTTTAAGTAAATAATAAATAAAATGATAGATTTAGCTGTAAAAAGGTAAATTTTCTATTGGTGAGTTCTTGACTACAAGTCAACTGAAGATTGTCTTGAGGACAAAGAACGTGTGGCTGTCTTTAACTGGCAGGATGGTAGTATGTGTGTGGTCTGAGGTTAAGGAGCTTTCTAGCCTTGTCATCCGCACTGTCGTCTTATCAATTGCACATTCATTTTGAATTTTCCTTTCCCTAACCAGGAGGTTGAGTCAAGTATTGCCCTGACACCTAGTAAGTGCGGATAAGCAGGAGTTCGGTTGCTCTTGCGCGTCATGTGCTGTGCTGGTTGTTGGACTTGGTGGCTCAGTAATTGGGTTTGATAAACTGTATAATCCAGTGGCACTCAGGAGTCAGATAGGTCTGAGCTGTGCAGGCCATGGGGTCATTCAGCCCTACCAGGGCATAAAGTCTTCAGGCGCATACATCCTTTGTTACAATCTATTGTAATTCCCCAAGACTATCTATTAGACTTGCTATGGATATTTTTTACATAACTATGACTCCCAAACTGGATTTTTACATTTTAGAGGAAAGAATTGTTCTTCGTTTTATCCATATTAATCCAAATTGAAATGAACTGATGTATTCGTAGCCACCACTCCTAGTGTAGTGTATGGCATATTTTTATTTTCCCTTCCAGGAAAAAGGATGCAAAAAAAAGATGGTAATTGAGGGGGTTGCTTTTCTCATGTAAATAAAGAAACAGTATGGTCACTGCACTTATTTAATGCCTTCAACTTTTTTCTGAAAAGCTGTGCATGGATCATATTATTTGGCTCAATATAAGACAAGATTAAAGGCTTTTGAATATTAATTTTTTATCTTGCTACTAAATGAATTAGCTTTACCCTAATCAGTAAGAACTGGTACATGAAGGGGAAAAGGTTATTTGCATTTTAAATTTTCTCCCTACAAATTTCTACCCTTAATTTTAGTAACACTTAACAATCTAAAATAATGTGGAGTGTTTCTCAGTATTCTAAATGGAAAGTAATCACTGCTTTCTCATTTTCATTTTCATGCTTGCATTTACTTTGCTTGGTTTCCACCTAGAGTAATTTTTTTGCATGGTTTTTGGCTGGAATTTTGGTTTGCAGGTTACCGCAACTTTTTCTTTGCTTCATTGCCATTTTTTCTGATTGCCTTTTTTTTCTTTCTGCTTCCTTTTTCTTTTCCTCGCATTGCCATCTACAGCCAGGCTATATAAGAGATTTGGTAAGTTCTCCATATTTAAAAAAAAGAAAGAAAGAATTAAAAATATTTACAGCCCTAGCTACAGTCTCCCCTCATGAATTAATTTCCCTCTACTCTTTGAGCAAATAGGCATCCCAAAGTGAGTAAATTTTAAAACTAACCTTTCTAATTACTCCTTTAGAAAAATTTTAAAATCATTGCAGTTATTTCTAGTGCTAGAAACCTATATGGCAGGCACTCATTCTGATCAGGTATCTTGGTACTGAACTTAAAACCCATCTTGTATATGAGGATTAGAACTTGTGCTATTATATGTGTGTGTACTTGAATAAATCTCAACAATTATATATACCTACTCGTACTTATTGTTTCTTGACATATGGAACTAAAATTAAGAAAAACTATATATTGACTATATATATTGACTTTTCCAAACTAAAATGTTTGGAAAGTCATTATTTTACTAAAATTCCCAAATGTAGCTTCAGTTATTTTCTAATTTCATCTCTCGCAATACATAATTTTGGGGCATGGGGCACATAATTCAATGTTTTAATCTTTTTTTGTCTTGATTCTGCCATGAAAGAATAATATCTAATAGTAAATATGATGTTTACTCATGTTTAGATAACAGCAAGAATCTTGGAGGCCCATCAGAATGTAGCTCAGATGAGTTTAATTGAAGCCAAGATGAGGTTTATTCAAGCTTGGCAATCATTACCAGAATTCGGCATCACACACTTTATTGCAAGGTCAGTGGTTCTACTAAGCACCGATGTGTAAACCTCAGTCTCTGCCTTCTTATTTAGTCGACTTCATGTAATTAGAAGTTAAACATTTAAAACTACCTACTGAGACCCATTAACCTATTACACAGTAAAATTTAAAGAATGTTGGAATGTATTTTCTATGCTTATAATTTTTTCATCAGAAATTTAAAGTGCTTTCATTTCTCTTTTTACTCAGGCAAGAATAGCACTTTAAGAGTTAAAAAGTACATATCTTCAAGAAAAACAGACCGACATGTCCCCTACCACCCCTGTTTTAAAACATGTATTTATGTTTTTAATTCTGTAGGTTCCAAGGGGGCAAAAAAGAAGAACTTATTGGAATCGCATACAACAGACTGATTCGGATGGACGCCAGCACAGGAGATGCAGTTAAAACCTGGCGCTTCAGCAACATGAAGCAGTGGAATGTAAACTGGGAAATAAAAATGGTAAGCTGTAGCCGTGCTGCTTGAATACACACACACAGTTCGATAGGCTAAAAACGAATTAGTTAAGAAGAAAAGGCCCTGTAAAAGTTTCAGATTCTTTGTGCCATTTCCTCTTAAAGTATAAAACATGCTTGGTTGTTCATTTCCTACTTAAACTTGCCTATTTTATAAGTGCCCAGATACTTCTAAGAGCGTAATACGTTACAATATTGCCTAATCTTTAAGGTTGTCTTTCTCTAATGAATAAACCCTTTCCACTCACAAATAGCAGCTACTCTTTAGTGAATGCCTATTTTATGCCAAGCATGATACTAGATGTTTACATTTGTACCCTATTTCTAAACGTTACCCCAGCCCTGCAAGGTAAATGGATTATCCCCACTATGCAAATGAAGGCCATCGTTGTCCATGACCACACACTGAGACTTAGGGTTCAGACTGGGATACTTGGGGCTCTAAAGACTGGCACACCATGCTACCCCTAACCTTGGAGTACATGACTCTCACTTAAACAGAATATTTCCCTAATAAGTCCTTTGGTTTAGGGTCATTGGATTTATTGTACTGATTTCAGTTACTTCATAGAATCTTATATTTCTGAAATATTCAAACATGAAACCTAAAGGTTAAATAGCTAAACACAGGAAATAGGTTTTCTCCTAGGGCTTGAAGGAAGACACTCGTTAATTGAATCATCAGAGATCTTTTGGGAACTTAATGACCTAAGCCCTTTGCATTCAGCCTTCCTTTTCAGAACAAGAAAACTTAAAAAGGAGGAGGGGAGAGGCCAATAAACTGCTTATGCTTTTGGACTTGAAGGCATTATTAGTTTAGGATTAAAAAAAAAAAGTTTGAGGACCTTTCGAGTGTTTTGTGCTCAGGGCAGACCTTAAGTGTAGTGGCCTTGCTTGGACCCAGCCATCTGGACTTCCACAGGGACTGACGGTTCTCTGTCTCTGTTCCAGGTCACTGTAGAGTTTGCAGATGAAGTACGGTTGTCCTTCATTTGCACTGAAGTAGATTGCAAAGTGGTTCATGAATTCATTGGTGGCTACATATTTCTCTCAACACGTGCAAAAGACCAAAATGAGAGTTTAGATGAAGAGATGTTCTACAAACTTACCAGTGGTTGGGTGTGAACAGAAATGCTGTGTAATGAAACTCCATGGCCATAACAGTTATTTAACTTTAAAAGCTGTTGTTTGTTATATGCTGCTTAATAAAGTAAGCTTGAAATTCATTATTTTATCATGAAAACTTTTTTGCCTTACCAGACCAGTTAATATGTGCACTAACAAGCACGACTATTAATCTGCTCTCATGATACAATGTATGGACTTGAATATGGCACATGTTCCTTAGAGCCAGGAATTGAAACTGAAGTAGTGGGTGAGTTAGGAACAAAACATCACTGATTCAAGTTAGCCAAACTGTAAGAAACTCAAGCCATCTACTTTAAAGCTATCCAGGGCTTAAACTATATGAAGTCTATTTATCATGTTAAATGCATGTGTTTTAATGTATGTTTAATTTGACCTCATAATTTTTCAAATATCCTACTTTCAAATATCCTACTTTGGCTACTTTGGGTAGCCATCTGTCATCCGTCCCCCCCACCCCACCCCAAAATAAATCAGGCCTACAAAAAGTGCCTGGTATTTAATAATGTTATTGTTTGATCTTGAAGGAAAATGCTATTAGTCGTTATGCCTGGTTTGTTTTTGTCCTTGAATAAGCATGTATGTATATTGTCTTGTGTTTTTATTTTTACACCATATTGTATTACAACACTTTTAGTATTCACCAGCATATTCACTGTCTGCCTAAAATATGCAACTTTTGCATTACAATATGAAGTAAAGGTCTATGAAGTATGCATTTTGTGTAACTAATGTACAAACACAAATTTTATAAAATTGTACAGTTTTTAAAAAATCTACTCACAACTAGCAAATGGCTTAGATGTAGCATCTTTGCATTAATTAAATGCTCTTTAAAATATAATTAATGTGCAGTTTTAATATCTGCTAAATTAAGGATGACTTCATTATAGTCATGATTTGCCACAATGTCCTTAACTTTAATGCCTGGACTGGCCATGTTCTAGTCTGTTGCGCTGTTACAACCTGCATTGGTGCTAGTCATAAAATTCCTAGCTCACATAGCCCAAAAGGGTGCCAGGGAGGGGTAGATTACCAGTATTGTTCAATAATCCATGGTTTAAAGACTGTATAAATGCATTTTATTTTAAATAAAAGCAAAATCTTTTATTTAATGTTTCTTTTGTACTTCTTGTTTTTACTGTTCACGTGACATTAACTGTAGACATAAACTTTCGCTTTTGGAAATGCTGCACCTGCAGCTTGTGAAAACAGCATGCTTAGTATTCTGCAGTGTCACCAGACAGGTGTACTTAATCTCTAAGATGGAGTCTTCCACTTCAGTTGAAACCCCTCATTTTTCCTTCTACTTAAGGATGAACTATAAAATATTTATGTTAGAAATGTAGCTATAAATAGAAATGACAGATGAACTGACACTGCTGGCTTGAGCAGAACTGATTTTAAACAGAAAAATGACTCAGTTTAAGAAAACACATTTTTTTTAATGAATTTACTCTGTATTGTTACTGCTATCACATCATCACTCAGACTCAAAACTTCAGTTCTGGACTTTCTCCTTTACCCCTTGCAATGAATAAGGCCAAGCCCTGGTGATACTTCGCTCGTGCAGCCCGGCGTCTTCCTTCTGTCACTGCTCTCACCGTCCCCTGAACTCAGATCTTTGGCCTGTGTCACATTCCCATGGCTTTTCTTTGTACTCTAAGGCCAGGTCTTAACAAGGCCTTGCTCAAAAATTTAAGAGCTCCTTCCCATTTAAAAAAAAATGTAATAATATGTTCCCATTCCTCATCTTAAGTATAGATCATCAATTTATGCAGTCACTTGCTAAAAGCCCCAAAATATATTTAGTCTATGGCACACACCCGTGTCCTTGCTGGTCCCACGGCCTCCCCACAAGGGAGAATAGCCTCTGTGCTGATTGTTCGGCCTCTGGTGGCCCTTCTGCCCTCCCAGGGATTTTGAGATCAGTTTAGCCCCAACACAGCACCGGGCTGTATTTCAGCTCCAGTAACTCCTGGTTGCTCACAGCATAAAAGCTAATGGTCCCCAGTCAAGCGCTCAGAGGTCTTTTGTGGCCTGTTCCCCAGCTCAAACTGGGCCACTCCAGACACACGGCACTCACCCATCTCCATTCATTCCCCAAACCTAGTCGCCACCTGTTCACATCTGAGCTTTCCAGCATTTAAGAAATTTTAGAAAGAGGTCGAATGTTCTTTCATCCACGAATACTTCCAAGTTTCCTTGTAGCCAAACATTTTCTCTTACTCCTCTGAACTGCCACTGAATTTGGTCCTTTTTGGAAGTTAAGAGCAGTCATCCTTATTAGGATTGAGTATATCCTGTTGCCCCTAATAAATTACTTAAGTTACTACTTCTTTGAGGACTGGATCTGAGTGTCATGGTTTCTACCTAGGATCCATTAGCATATATTTGTTTATTGATTATAGTGATGGTTATTTTAGAAATCAAGAGGTTGTTACAACTTGGAACTTTTCAGCATCAGCATAGTTTAATATGAAGGAAACACTTTTTGGATAGTGTCTGCACTAAGAGGCATGCTAAGTGCTTTCACATACATTTTCTCTTCTATAAGTGTTAGTTACTTGGTCGTGTCCAACTCATTGCAACCCCATGGACTGTAGCCTTCCAGGCTCATCTGTCCATGGAATTCTCCAAGCAAGAATACTGGAGTGGGTTGCGATGACCTCCACCAGGGGATCTTCCTGACCCAGGGATAGAACCTAGGTCTCTTGGGTTGCAAGCAGATTCTTCACCACCTGAGCTACCAGGAAAGCCCTTTTTTAAAGATTCATGCAACTCCACCTCCTCATTTTATAGATGAAGCTCAGTGAGGCCAAGTAACCTGTTTGAAGTCACATGGCTATAACTGACAAATGCCAAGGCAGAGCTAGAAGTGGAACCCTGATTTCCATCTCCCTATCCAGTGGTACTTAATCCTGGGGAGCCCTATTGATGGTGGTCTCTACAGAGATGACACCAGTCAACAAAAAGAACACTGGCAGAATCTCCAGAAACAGCTTCTGGTTTCTGCTCAATAACTCATTTTCAGATAGACACAAAGGCACAGGGGACAAGAGACTAAGCTCTCTTGCAACTCGTTTTCTTACGACAGCAGTTTAAAGACCAGCTGGAAGCGCCTGATGCAGTTGGTCACTAATCTTCGCTTGGTACAAATTATTTTTTATGCAACCTCAAACTTCGAAAGTCAAGGACGTAGAGACGTGGACTTATTTTTCCCCAGGCATTACTGAGGGATAATTGACAAAACTATAAGATATTTACAGTGTACACTGTGGTGATTTGATCTACATCTAGAAGGATGTAGATCACACACTCTACATACCACCACCTGGCTAATTAACACACTTGCACCCTCAGAGACATGAACTTTGTGGAAGGAAAGCCACTTGGCAGTTCTTGGCCAGCGTAGAGATAGTGCTCATTTCATTTTGTATTCCATAGTTCTGTTATTTTTTATGTTAAAAGTCATACTGAGGTGCTTTTAATCATTTATCAGTTAGTGATGTAGTGGGATCAGACCAATCTGGGTTCCTGGCCTTTAATTTATCTGGGAGATAACTGCACAGAGTTAAAGAAAATGTTTCAAGTGCACAACAGTTTACCTATATTAAATGTAGTAGTTTCCCAGTAAAATACTAGGTGTCTTTTTTTTAACTCAAAACTTCTTTGATACTCTGGAATGCATCCTTGTCTTACACTTTTCTTAATTGTTTCTGCCCCCTGTAATTGTTTGACAAGGGCTGCTGTTGTGTTTGACCATCAATCAAAACATAGTAACATACTCACTGCTCTGATAATTCAGAAAATCAGGATTTTCTGAGATCCATCCCTTTGTGACATAGTATCATCACTGATAGTTCTTGAATGCCCTCTCCTCCACCCATGACCTTGCACAGCTGCCGCCTATCCTCTATGCTCTGCTTTATTCTAAAAATGCAGATGCTGGTTCCAAATAATCCCGCCACCCCCTCTCCCAAAATGTTTTTGTGGCTACTGTAGCTGTTCCCTCTTTTAGTGGCTATAAAGTTGCAAAGGAAAGACAGGGATGAACTGACTGGCTATGTGGGGAATGTAGGCCTAATAGACATATACAATAATAAGTGGATTCAATTCTTACTCTGCTGATAAAGTTCCTGTCATCTCCACACAGAACTGCCCAGGAAGAAGTTGTTTACTGAAAGCTCTGTGTTCTTCAGCAAATTAACTGTGTCATTATCTGTTTGAACTGCTTTGGCCTGGCAGGTCAAGAATGGGGGAGGGAAGTGGCAGAGAGAGTGACAGGAAATGGGAAGTTGTCTATCTGGGTAAGAGGAATGAATCTCTCCCAGTAGATGGCAGAGCCAACCAGAACAGGAAACAGGGTAGCAAAAAAGCCTCATCTGGTGACCTGATTTCCCATTGTGCTGATTCCTCTCTTGCTGTCTCTGCTTTATTTAATAAACAGTACTAAGTTTCCCAGGCTGAATGTATACATTAAAATTCTCTATTTATTCTCTTGATAAACAGTTATCAGTGTGTGCGCGCACACACACAAACACACACACACACACACACTCAGTCACTCACTCACCTAGTTGAGTTTCTCTTTTGATGTCTGTGCCTGGGCCTGCATATTACTAAAAATTACAAGCACTTAAAATAATTTGAGACCATTATTTCATGAAATCTAATTATAATCTCATGTGGCTTCACTGGTCAAGCATTATCTCTTACTATTCAGGGAAGTGGTCCAAGTTCAATGTTAATTAAATTCGTGATAAAAACATGACAACCAACCAGACAGGTTTAACATACCTGTATTAGTATGGTTTTCAGATATTGGACAATTTTTAAAAAAAAAAACACTTTTTTGAGCATAAATTCTCATCTCAAATCCAAATTTCATGAATTAATTTTTATGATCAAGTAAAATTCAAGTAAACACATTAACTGTCAGGTTTACTGATTGGAACATCTAAACCTTGTTTCTATTT